ACTTTTAGAAGATTTCTCTGTTTCTTAATTTGGAAGGATACAGAATTTTGTTATTGTTATTGTTATTGTTTAGTTATATTTCACAGTAGAGAGTTTTAATGGAATAACCGTCTATTTAAATGCAAGGGACAGAACTACCTGGTTTGAATTCTAAGTCCACAATTTACCCATTTTGTGATCTCTGGCAAATTAGCTGAACTCCCAAAGCCTCTTCTCTAAAACAAGGTAACAGTAGAGGGGCGCCTGGCTGGCTCAGTTGTTAAGCATCTGCCTTCGGCTCAGGTCATGATCCCAGGGTCCTGGGATTGCGTCCCGCATCGGGCTCCCTGCTCTGCGGGAAGCCTGCTTCTCCCTCTCCCACTCCCCCTGCTTGTGTTCCCTCTCTCACTGTGTCTCGCTCTGTCAAATACATAAATAAAATCTTAAAAAAAAAAAGATTTGGACACTAAAACAAGGTAACAGTAGTAACATCTCCTAAGGCTACATAGTAGTCCTCATTTCACTAGTGCATGAGCCCCATGAGGTCAGGACTTACTCTGTTTACTTCTATCTCCCCAGCACCTAGAACAGTCTGTGCCCTGTAGTAGGGACCCGCTAAACATTTGTTAAAAGTTCAGCCAGATAATATATGCAATGCATTTAACACAGTGCCTAGAGCTGACTAACAGTAACAATACAATTTCCTGGGTTTTTCTCCGTCCGCATTATTAAAGCTCTTAAATGTCATCAGGTGCATTTAAAATATGACAAATTTTATTTTAGAATTGTCTTTTGCAGAAAAAATATTAGTCTACCGCTCAGCCATTCTGTATTAACCTCTTTAAAATTAAATACATTGGGGTTCTCTCTTTGAAGTCTGCCAACATAATTTCTGGACTGAAGAGTATGGAGAGAATGAAAATTAATTCTTATTGCCCGAAGTTGTGTGTATCTGTATTTTTTTTTTTTAAATCAAACTGAGGTATAAGGTGACTCATGTCCTTTTAAAGTTCCCAACAAGGCAGGTTCAAAGCTTCTTTTCTGCAGTTTGCTTTAATTCTAAGAGAGAAAAAGCAACATTTCTAAACTGAATTTGCCTGTTTGTACTCTCTGGCTTAAAACACTTCGCTCAGCTGTCTTATGTAATAGTTTTAAAAAGGAATATATTACTTCTTTCCATTTCACTTTCCATATGGATTTTTGTAGGGTTTTTATGAGTGCTGCAGAATTTAGAGCAAAATGATGTCAGAAATCATCTCTTTCTCATCCCTGCATCTTAGAGGTGAGGAAAGTGAACAAAAAGAGAAGTTAAGTGGTCTTAGTTAGTGAGGTAAGTTGTGAAACAGAGTGTTTGACCTTTGACTGGTTTTGCTCTGCCTTCCTTGTTTAAAACAAAATGAAACAAACAAAAAAAACCAGTAACCCACTCTAACCATATAAACAGATGCCTCGGTAGTGCTATTGTTTTTCTTAATTCAAGTCTTTGCAGAAATTGTGCTACTGGGGCGCCTGGGTGGCTCAGTTGGTTAAACAACTGCCTTCGGCTCAGGTCATGATCCTGGAGTCCCGGGATCGAGTCCCGCATCGGGCTCCGGGCTCCCTGCTCGCGGGGAGCCTGCTTCTCCCTCTGACCCTCCCCCCTCTCATGTGCTCTCTGTCTCTCTCATTCTCTCTGTCTCAAATAAATAAATAAAATCTTTAAAAAAAAAAAAAAAGAAATTGTGCTACTGAATGTTGAAAAAAGTCTGCATATGACTTGTTCTGATAAAAGGGAAGTTATTAATTAATTTAGTCATATATTCCTTAATAGCATGTTAGCAGAATTTTTTGACTCTCTTAAACATAATGTAGAACTTCTGAAAATCAATCTTCTTTTTGTTCAGGATAAATTTTAGAATGTATTTGTTGTTAATAGAGTATACACAGTGTAAAACTTTTCTCATATAGCTAGAATAAGTCGATTAATGCAATTAAAATTTGTTTATATTTGAATGATTGTCAGTAAATTTTAAAGAAAGGTCAGATAGCATTTTCAGTTGTTAGCAGTTTTCCCCTGATATCACTCTTTCTCTGTTTTTTAATGATGTTATCATCCATTTCTTACTCACTTTCATGCATATCAGGAGGTTAAAATGGCATAAATATCTGCTATAGTAAAATACATTCCCATTTTAGGTACAGCCATAAATTCTCGAAAGATTAGTGAAATTACACAACCTGCCGTCTCCATGTCCCTCAGTACATAGTAATTTGCATGATTGTTTTAATGTCTAATCATATCACTCTACAACTCTCCCTTGTACAGCTGTTAAAAGAAGTCACAACATTCTTGAGGCAGTAGTAATAATAGACACAGCTGTCATGGGTTTAAAAAAAAAACTTTTAGGAAATAATTATATATCCATTAAGTTTGAAATGTGGCAGACCTATCACTGCATTTAAATGTATTTCAGATTTTCCTGAGCAATTTAAACTTTTCGACCTCTCTACTAGGTAGAGAGGAAGGACAAGCCCGTTTATGTGATGGGGCTCAACCTCTCTGCTCTGTGTCAGTCAGCCGAAGAGCCCGTGTCCACAGCGGAGGCGCACTTTAGGGATCATGTAAGAGGGAGCAAGTGGAAACTCCCTCTTACGCCGTGCTCAGCAGTTAATTATGAATCGATCCAATTAATAATTGTAGTGCAGGATACAAACTTTCTCCTTTTCCTACATAATGACTCTTTTGGAAATGTGTCAGTCAAAAAGGTGAGTAGCATCCTTAGATTTATATTTTAATATACATTCAAGATTTGTATAATTTAAATATTAAAATAAAATATGCATATTTAGCATAAGGAAGTTTGTTATTTATAATATGAAGAAGAATCAGTGTCTGAGTTTACAGTAGCAGCGTTAACCCCTCTTTGTAATGACCTCTAGCAGCTCGCTAGAAAAGGCTTTTCTTCACAATAAAATTTTTCACGTTATAAGTTTAGCTTAGTGGAATTCCTGATCATTCTTTTCCTCTGCTTCCTTCAGTTGCGGGTCATCCATGAGTTCAGTTGTGTTGCAGTTAAGGTGTTATGCTGGGGCTAATCTCTGTAAAATGCTAGCATTTGTTCTTCTTTTTCCCTATCATCAATCTTTCACACTCATATCAAACCCCTAATGTATCAGCAGGTTTCCCAGAGCTACTGGTTAAAATTACCTTTGCTTTTGGTAAACTCTGAACCTTTAAGCCTCAGTGTTTTCAGTTGCCCCCTGTGGATTCCGTGAAGCCTCTCTCTGCACATTCCTCACTGCCAGTCACTTGCTTTATGTCCTGAAACCAAGAGCCTGTGCAGAGCCCCCTGACTATTCCAGCTGTACCCACCACCCTTCCTTAAATGGAGAAAGGGTGTAAATACCTCCAGTAATCGGTGTTGTGTACGCAAACTACAAGGGAAGTGGTTGGAACTCCCAAAGCTAGAGAGCTTGTGTTTATTTTACCAAGTAACAGTTCAGATTGTTTAAAATCCTAGCTATTTCTGAAAGTTTCTTGGCTTTTCTGACCCTGACAGGGAATGGCAGATTTACCCGTCTTCAGAGTAAATGCTACACTAAAATAATTTGTTTCTTAAGGTTTGTCTTACTAATTGCCTACGTGAATAGTTCATATTTTATTTAAATTTATTTTATCCTCCTGTGTGCCTGTTCTTTCTTCACTTCTTCACTTCCATACATACTTCTCTTTTGTACATTCTGACTAGGACTGTCCCTGTTATTAGTAAAAGTGGATTCCAGTATAGATGGGATATCTTGTGAATACACGGTTCGTGATGTTTCACCTTCAGTTGTCATACACAACTATTAGGTTACAACCTTATTCTTTTGGAAAACTGAGTCCTGCCGTTGAGGATAATGCTTTGATTATTGGTGTGACTCTTCGTGTTCGCAGTTCAGTACTGGGAGTTACAGTCTCATTAAGATTTACACTAAATATCTGGGGAGTTCTTGAAAATTAATAGAAAAAGGAGAACGCCCTTCTCTCTGTGAGTAGCAGCATAATCTTGGTAGGTTTTGCCTCAGGCAAGTAAAATTCCAAAATATTGTTCTCAAACTTTGTCTATTTGGCAAAAAGTCTTAGGCTAATAATGGTGGTGAAGTAGCCATCTAAATTTGAAATTTTAAGATACTCACTTTGAAAGCCACTTAAGTGTTTTTACCCTTCAAAATATAACATACATGCTTTGCCTATTTTAAAATATTTAATAAATATTAATTTATTATGTTATCATTTATTATGTTAGCTTTTTCTAAAATGGCCATAAAAAAGGGAAACAAGTATAAGCACATCAAAAGAAACAAAAATAAAAATTATCTAGAGTATCTTGTCTTTAAAAGAGTCTCAGTAGTATTACTCAGACATTTTTCCAGAATGTCACTGACCTTTAACATATGTTATTATATAACCCTTTGATGTACAAAACTCTGTTGTATTCTTTCTAAAATGGTAGTAAGTAGGATATGGAAGGTTAATGATTATATCACTCTTAATTTTAAGAACTACGACTGTGTTCTAAGGAATGCTTCTGTTAAAGCTAATGAGCATGGTTTATTTATACACACTACCGAATTGTTATAAATTAATGTTTATATTTAAATGATTATATGATCATTCTTAATTGCTTGGGGTATGCAAGTCATATTTTTTCAAATAAAGAAATGAAGCCAATGTGAACCACTTAAGTAGATTTTCATGTTAGAATTCCTTGTTTTTCCTTTAGTTAAGCTCCCGAGATTCTCCCTGAATTGATCAAAAGTTTAACCCACCACAAACTCACCACACCCTTTTTAATATAGGATGGATGTCGATGTGCTGCTTAAGAGTCAGGGAATAGAAGAAATGAAATAGTTTTAAGTATTCACAAAAACAATTTCCTGATTCTAATGAATGATTTTGGTGACATATTTTAATCTAGAATATTGTGTGTAAAATTTCTTACCACAGCTGCATCTTCATTTTTATACTCCTCTTGTTTTGTTTGGTTTGTTTTTTGCAGTGGGTACACCTTATTACATGTCTCCAGAGAGAATACATGAAAATGGATACAACTTCAAATCTGATATCTGGTCTCTTGGTTGTCTACTATATGAGGTAGGTAATGTTGATAAAGTCCACATATTGATGTATTTTTAGTTACTGTAATATATTTCCTCTGTCCTTATAGTATACACTTATTTTTTTCTGGATGGTGTTTAAGAATTAGCTTTTTAATTAGGAAGGGTTAATTTCTTGACTTAGTAACTGCTTTTGTAATGGTAACTATACATTCCTGCATATTTACTTCTTCTAAATATTTTTAAATTGTTTCCTTTTAGTGAGAATTTTATTTTAAAAAATGTTTTTAATATTAATATGATGTTATCCTGCATATCTTATTTATAAAAATGTACATTTGAACAATTGTAAAATAACTTGCTTATCCATGCATAGCAGGAGAGGTATAATGGAATGGATTTAAAACATGAAAGCATGGTAAATATCTTTTTCAATATTTCTTTTGCTCTTACATAGAGTAATTTAGCTTCAAGGATAGTAGGTAAATAGATAATTTTTCTAGGTTACCACTTAATTTCACTTCCATGAGTAACAGTTGTATTGGTAAAGCTTAGTGAAATTCTCTCTCTCCTGTTCTACTGGTGATAATTTATCAAAGGAAAATGGAATCATCTAGGTGTATCCTCTAACAAATATTTCAGTGCGGTAATTTGGATGGGTAGAAAAAAAGGCATATTATATAAAAGCACATTTTACATCCATGTTATAGAGTAATAGTATCAAAAAGCACTCACAACTAGTGACTTATGTAAATTTATTTTTTAATCCAATGGTAATTTTCCTGGTGATACAGGCTTTAAGTCAGCTGCTAATTAAAGGTTAGTCTACATCTGAGTAACTATAAAATAAAATGAAGGAAAATAATACATGGAATCATTTTCATGTTTTAATGTATACAAAAGAAATCTAAAGTGGATAGATAGAAACCAATGTATTTCTTACTCTATATTTTGTGTTTCCTGTCCTCCTGACTTAAATGAAATATATCATGAGATCAGCTATTTTAATTCCCCAACCATTACTTGGAAGTAGAGCATTAGAAGGGTTTTTTTTTTTTTTTTAACGTGTATCATGATCTTTAATTATTATATTATGGTTTACAGATTTCCTTAATTTAAGGAACCTGAGATTATTTATTTTGTTCTTGCTAGTAAAGTCACTAATGGCCACTTTAAAAGAACAGATTTTTAAATGTTCTTAAATAACACCTGTAGGATAATTTTTATGAATTAGTGATATGACAAAACATGTTTTTAGGTATGCACATGAGATTAAAAGAGATTATGCTCCCTATATTACATTCTGTTACTAATTTGATACAATGCTGAAAAGAATTGATTTGATTATATTAAATTACTATAATGTTTAAAAGTCCCTTTGTACATTTTTAAATATTTCATATTTATTTAGGTAACATTAGGTTCCTCAGGCCATAGTCTAATATTATCAAAGTGGCATTTTCCTTTAAACACCTGAAAGTAAACAACAAATTGATTTGCACTAACAAGATGAAATTTAGCAATGAAAAAGAAAAAGTTCAGTTAAGGTAATAAATGTTTTTTGAGAAGTTTGCAAATTCTTTTAGGGCTACTGGATTCTTATGTCTAAACTGAAATAATTCTTCACATTCTGGATTTGCCTTTGAGAGGCAGTGTCCCATTTTTATGTGTATTTAAAATGATCACCAAAATAGAAATTATTTCCTTGGACACTCCTACATCCATGAGTTTTATGTGTTATGGATGATTTTGAGTTAAAGTATTTATCATGAAAACATTAGTTTTCATCTCAGTGAATTTTCTCAGTTCCTCTATGCAAGTCATGTGGAAGAACTAAAATTTTTCGAAAGATTTAATTTGTCTTTATGTTCTATCTCCTTCCAGTTATGTTTCAATATAGTGCTAATAGAAATACCCAGCAACTTAGCCTTAAAAAATTGGCCACAACCTCTCATGGACATTTTATATTAATATCCCTCCAAGAATTTACTATTAACAATGAAGGAGTAGGAAGCTTTTTTGAAAATGTATTTTAAACTCAGAAAATTAGACTTTCAAATATTCCTGAAACCTCAAAAAAAAAAAAAAAACTAGCAGTACAGTTTTAATTGATATGCAACAAAGTAGACTTTACTAATTAAAATCAAGATGCTGTGCTTTTGCTACACGGACCTTTACATGGAAAAGTAGGTTTTACACATTTCCTTTATTGTTCAGCGCAGCAATTGCATCCTTACAGGGTTGTAGGTTGGTGGCTTACAGTTCAAAAAAAAAGAGAGCTGCCACCAGCCCCGAAGACAGACAGTGGGCTTTCGTCCCTCCGACACCCCCAGAATACTAATCAGGAAAGTCAGACCCTGGAGGTCAGGGAGCAAGTCAATCATTCTAGTGATCGTCTCAGTGTGGAGGATCAAATTAGCCTGAAAAATTCAGCTGCTGGGAGGAGAGGGCGAGCAGCTGTCAGGGGCAGCATCGAGATGCACTAATGAACCAGATGAATAGTGCAAAAGCTTGAAAATAAAAACAGGACAGTTGACATTTTTCATCTGTCAAAGCAGGAGATGCATGAAAATATACTATTCCTGTTTTAACTCCTTAGGGGACATTCAGATTTTTTTTTTTTTTTTAACACTCTGCAGTATTGAGACAAAAGTACTATAATGAACTCCTAGCATATGATAATGAATATATGTACATTTACGTAGGGTTTTTGCAAATATGGAAAGACTATAGTTTATGTATACAGTGTATTTTTTAAAGTGGCCTTTATAATACTCTGTCATAAAGTGTACTTGCATTTTAAACAAAACAAAACAAAAATGTTTTATTACTGATAGCTCCTCTTCTAGAAATTTCCTCTCGGATGGAGGGTTTTACATGTTTAGGGCCATTTATATTGTTTTTACTTTTCTCTCCTCATGTGGAACAGCCATTCCTGAGGTTGTTTCATATAGGTTTATATAGGTTTCATATAAAATGTAGGCTAAGTAAAACTATGCCAGGCTACTTCGCAGGTTTGATTTCCAATGCCGTCCCCTCCTCGTTTAAGGCTCTGAAGGAGTTAAAGCTCTGTCTGGAGCACCAGAAGACAGATGAGAGCCATTTTCAGCTTGTCCTGTCCCCACTGACGCTCACTGAGTAGCACAGCATGGACTAGCGTGTTTCACACACACTCTGCCTGTCTGGGGAATGTACACATTGTCCTTCCAAAATCAAACTTATTAGCACATGTAGAAAAGGGTGACTGACTTTGGGGCAGCCTCACATCCGTGTTGTATTCTTGCCGCTGCGGTTCAAAGATTTAGAAGGTTTTGAACAGGATGCGAACATTTTAAATTGAATTTTTTCGTTTGTAACCCTGCTTACCACAGTACTTGCTTGCACTTTAAATGTCAAGTTAGAACCTTGTCTTAAAATAAATTTAAATTCAGTAATGTCTTTTTTAAAGTTGATCATTCTTTGAGTCTTTTTTTTTTTTTCTGCATAGAAATCTCATTCGGATGCCTTGAAATAGCGGCTATGACTCAGAGAGCTTTTGAACATATTCAGTGTTTTTGAGGCATTATCAAAAGAAAAGAAGTTCTAGTTCATTGTAAACCACTTGAGGGTCAGTTATAACATTCAGATTGAGAAGACTTTTTTAATCTCAAAATAACCCTTCCCTACAGAAACGGTCATGTTGTATAAAACGCTATACATTCTACTCCCTAAACCATGGCTTAGATTATAATTCATTTTCAATTTCTGTTTCATTTTAGTGATATTTTGACCATTGCATGGTTGATGTATACCAGCGATGTCTGTTTAGTCATGAGATATATTACTTGTTTTTATGGCATTATATTCACAAAGAGTTTTACGTCACTCTGTGTTCTTTTTCTTAATGTTACTTTATGTCATATACATATACATATATATATATATGTATATGTAAATATGTGCTAACCATTTCTCCCTTTTAGAGAATTTTAAATATTGAAAAAAAACCCCAAAAATTGAAGTAAGATTTTTAGAACTTACTGAATAATTCTCAGAAAGGAATACTCATAACAATCAAAATGCCCAGATAACTTTATTTAAAGTATTTGTAATTATTTTCTACCCGAGTGTAATATACTTGATGAAATCACCTTTAAAAGTTACCATGTAGCTATATCAGTTTCATTGGGAGCATTTTACAGATGGCTGCGTTACAGAGTCCTTTCTATGGTGACAAAATGAATTTGTACTCGCTGTGTAAGAAGATAGAACAGTGTGACTACCCACCTCTTCCTTCAGATCACTATTCAGAGGAAGTAAGTCATTTTTCAGTCCATGTGTTTGTCTGTTGTTCATTTTGCTAACGTTTGCATTTTATTAAGAATTTTTTTTTTTCTGTCCAGAAACACAAATGATGAGTATGGTGGCAGAAATAGCACTTTTCATTCTGTTTCCCTTCTCTTGGAGACTTACTGTTTAAAGAGTTGACTCTGCAGTTCCTAATGTGGAGCAGAGCACAGCACAGCATGTGGTGTGAAATTGGTCACTTCCTAGGTGTGAGGAGAAGGAGAGCTGACTTTGCAGCCTCCTGAACACGGCAAAGGGCAAAATTGATGCTCAGACCCCAGCTCGAGTTGACCAGCGTGTCTTGGTGCCCTTCTTAATAAGGCCACTCCTCATTCTCACAGCCTCAGAACAACCATTATAACTTTCTGCTTTGCAGAACTTCCCTCTCATCCGTGTTTTCCAAAGTGTGAAACTTCCATCTCTTAGCTGTGTGTCTCTCAACCTCGTTCTTTCAGCTTTATCCTCCCTCCCTTGACCACGCCTGCCCCGTCACCACCTCACTGTTGTAATCCGATTCCTGTGGGAAATGTTTTGAGGTTATCATTAGCAGACATGTTAAAACATATATTGGATGGGATTGAAAATTTTAGAAGACTCTCCTGTATTAAAATCTGAGTCTGAATCCTTGCTTGCTTTGGTAACCCATTGAAATGAGTTGTTTTGGCTCTACCCAACAAACGGTTTTTTATTGAACAAAACATCTCCCATTTTAGCCCAGTATTTAATTTTGCCAGTATTTAAGGTGGAGGTAGGCAGAACAGCAGTATCTTGGGTTAACTAAATGTGTTCACATAACTCTTTTTGGAAAGCTTACTGGGGAATCTACCCAGAGAAAACACTGTCTTGAGTTAGGACATCTCACCCTCTCACGAGCAACAGATTTTTTGCCCAAGAGAGATGGCAAGGAGCAAAGGAAAAATATAAAACAATTATAACATTCAGTTATTAGGTAGTCTTGTCACTCTTTCTATCTTGAAATGAATAGCAATCGGTTTGAGTCTTATATAAGGAAAATTGAGTCAGTGTAACTTGAATAATAAATATCTCTAAAGAATTTTTACCATATGTAGAGCACTTGAGGCCCTAGAATGTTATAAGTACCTTTTTTTCCTGTGGTTTTGATACTAATAATCAATGGTGCCTGGGTTTTTGTTGTTGTTGTTTGTTTCATAGCCTTTGTATTCAGGTAATTAAAATAAACTCTCATAAGGCAGTGACGATAATTTAGAAGTATTATCTTTATTTGATGTTAATGCTATTATGTTAGCCATTTTTAATTACTATTTTGGGTATAGAATATAAATATGGCATTTCACAAAACCAACTTCAGAACTCCAGGCCTGGAAATACAGTAGGGTGTGAACAATAATGCAAAATGATGGCAAGAATGTCAGGGGCCGCTCTTTGTTGTGTCATTCATGCTGTCTTCTTTTTTCCATGAAGCGCATGAATATTTCACATATCTGCATCCTCATCCCCTATTCTTCTTGACTAATTTTCAGACTGTCTGAATTTGCATTTCACATGGTAGCTGATTAGGAGATGCCGAGTGCAGCAGCGAAGCCTCAGCAGGCGGTTACCATGGTGACCTTCAGCAGGATTTTAATGATGATACCACTAGTGGTTCGTTGAAGTCGGCCTGCCTGCAGGGCTACTTCACTGCAGCTAAGTGTGAAGTTGGATATGCGGATTCTCAGCCAAGGGGCAAATATCAAAGTCTGGCCCAGATAGAAGGTCTTAGAGTTGGGAGAGGAAAGTAAGATTCCACTTTTTACTTCACTCTATAGAGTTACCAGTTTCGAAAACAGATACAAAGCAAAACGTGTTCTATGGCGTACTCTCCAATAAAGACAGGATTTTTACCAATATGAGGAGCAGCTCCTCATATTGGTAAAAATCTGTCCTTGTGCTGTGGGGAAATCGAAGGCTCTACAACTAGGTAAACATGGAAACTAAATCTTATGAAAGAAACGAGGTATGAAAAATACAGACTAATAATGGTAACTTTAATCTGTTCGGTTATGTAGAAAAGTTCTCAGAACAAGAGCTTTGAAATGCAGATGTGCTAATAAGTATTTTCTCTCCTTAAGCAGGAACTCTGTTTGTAAAATAATTATTCAGAATTTATGGAAGCAAAAACCTGATGCTGCCATACTTTAAGGGTATCTTAAATATTTCCTTACATAGTAAACTTTTTCAGTCTTTTCAGAGTTCAAATTGCCATTTGATTTTTTAGCATGGCAGAAGACAGGAGACAATGAAAAGTGAAGTATAAAGTTTTTAAATAGCAAACTTTCACTAAGTGTCGATTTCACAGCAAAAATGGTAGCAGTCTCTGTAACTGTTTGAAGAATGAAAAAATTTAAGCAAATTAATGTTCCACTAAATATCTATTTGAAAGCTTATCAAATTGAGTTAGCTACTGCTAAATTTTTAAGGCTACTGCCCAAAAAGGTTTGGAAGGGAACATTTCATGAACATAGTGGCTATGCCCCCAACCAGCCTTGATCAATAGGAATAAGGAACTCTATAAGATTTATTTCTAGGTATAGTCATTCCAGTTAGAAGAACTCAGAGTTTAAAAGCTTGGGAGTTTTTTTTATTTCTTATATCCTAAAAAACATAGATACACTTAAGCATTACAGACCAAAAATGAGAAATAGTGTCCTTTGGAGAAATAACCCTGTATGTCAAATCTTTCCTTTTGAATTATGCTATTATTGTTATTATGTACAAATGATTAGGATTCTAGATTGAAATATGTCAGCTGTACAGGAACGATACTAAGATACGTATATTTTGTAGTTTAGTAAAATATTTTTGTTTATGACAGTATCTTTGGGTGTTCAGTATTCTTTCTTTTTCCAGTAATGATCTCCTCCATATATCAGTGGGGAACTACTGTACTTAACCCTAAATATCTTGAGTTGAAAAGATAGGTATTTTTCCTTAGATATCTCTTAAGTTTAATTAAAATTGGTATCATTAGTGATTGTGAAATTAACATCTGTGAAGCCGACATTTATTGAACATTTACTATGTACAAGGAATTATGACTCAAAAGGCCCCTTGTAATCTGATCCAAGCTTATCTCTCCAGACTTATGGATCTCAGGAGACCCTCTTCTTTCCCTCATTCTACCAGTATACGTTCTACTAAAATTTCCGTGAATTTCTGTGATTTTATGGATGCTGTTTCCTCTCTCTGAAACATCCCTTCCCCTGTTCTTTACCAGGCAAACTTCTCTCTTCGAAGAAAAGCTTGGGCATCATCTTCTGCATGAAGTTATCCTGCTCCCCTTTCTTCTCTCCCCATATCCCCCCGACCCCACACCTTGGCAGTACACTGCATGGCACTTGTTTCTTTATACACCCCCCCCACACACACACACACCTCTCTCACCCCTGTCTAGCTCCTGCCCCTGAGGAACAGTAACTGCTTTTTGTCTGTGTATCTCTAGGGCCTGGCATATTAAAAAAGTTCAGTGATTGATTGAGGGAATGAGGAAGTGAAAGAGTGAGATTAAAGTAATAAATGAAAAAAACAAATAAATGCACCAATTATTTGGCAATTGAATGAATGAGGGAAACTTCTCCAAAGAGCTCTCCATTCAGGAAAGGTAGAAAATTACCCAAAAAGGCAGAAGCTATGATAATTTTATTTTAATGATATTACCCACTATATGACTTTCCATTCTGATCAGCAAGCAGTGTCATTTCCGGAATGCCCAGGGTCCATTTACTGGAAAATAAGACAAACAGATTTTTTCCTTCAGTTTCAGTATTTAATTTCCTTGAGAGTCACAGGAGTGGTCATCAAAAGTATGCATTTTCAGGGCGCCTGGGTGGCTCAGTCAGTTAAGCGTCTGCCTTCGGCTCAGGTCATGATCCCGGGGTCCTGGGATCGAGCCCTGCATCGGGCTCCCTGCTCATTGAGGAGCCTCCTTCTCCCTCTCTCTCTGCCTGCCGCCCTCCCCCCGCTTGTGCTCTCTCTCTCTCTGTCAAATAAATAAAATCTTTTAAAAAAAAAAGTATGCATTTTCACTGTTGTTCACTAAATTATCTCATGACTCTTAAGTTGAAAAATAAACCCAGTATATAGTTATATTGACAATTATTTAGAAAGTACAGAAAGCAACTTTATACTGGGTCTTTTTTAGTCAACATATTTTTTGAAAATCTGAGCATTAACATCCTGCAGAATATAGATTCTCTTTCAGTACTTTTTATTTATTGTAAAAAATTCCTAATTTAAATAGAGAAGACATGAGAAAGATTGAGCAGAACTGTACCTTGGTGGTTGTTTTTGGCAGATTTGTCTTCATTTTAGATTTGAACAGAGAAGTTTGAATGGAAACTGAAAAGTTGAGTCAAGGGTTTGTAGATGGAAGTGAAAAATGGAAATAAGTAGGGGAGAATAGGGTGATCTTGGTTTGAGAAAATAAGGAGAAATTAAACTGAGGATTTGAAAAAACAATGAATTGTGTGAAAAAGAAATTCAGCACCTATAGCGCATTAGTGAGAGGGTTAAAAGCTCTTCAGTGAAGTCAGCTTTATTATAGCAGTGCTTGTTGATCTGAACTGGTTGCCATAGCAGATACTTATCTGTTTAGGGGTCATTTCAAGTTCATTGTAAATAAGAAAAACTTTTGTAGGACACAGTATCTGTGGATGTCTTCTAATTATATTTTTGAGAACTTGCTAATTCAGTAGGTCATCTTCATTTTATTTCTGGAGAAACCAAAATGTAATTTGGGAAATAGAATTATTGCACCAGTAATCAATTTTCAAATTATTTAATGCTTCTCTTGTGCATTAAATATGTTCATTTTGTCACTTTATATTTCCAGCTCACAGATAGAAAGGTATCTGTTTTTATTAAAAATCAATGACTGGGACTACTTCTCAAGTACACAATTATCTTCTTAAATATCAACCTAAAAGGTCACATCCAATCAAAGAACTAATGG